GATGCTGCCACTTTCTTTCACAGAGTTGGGTCTCCTCCACATCTTGGATTGCTTTGATCTGAGAGGGGTCTGCTTCTATACCTCGGCTGGTCACCAGGAGCCCCAAGAATTTGCCAGATCCTACTCCGGAATGCGCACTTGGAAGCGTTGAGGCACAACTTGTGTTTCTTCAAGATTTCAAACATCTCCCATAAGTCCTTGAGATGGTCATTCTCATCCTTTCTTTTGACCACCATGTCGTCGATGTATACCTCCATTGTTCTGCCTAACAAGGTTCAAACATCTTGGTGACCATCCGTTGGAATGTTCCCCTGCGTTCTTCAGGCCGAAGGGCATGACCTTGTAACAGTATAGTCCTCTTGGAGTTGTAAAAGATGTGACCTCCTGGTCTGGCTCATGCAGTGGCGATTTGGTGGTAGCCTCTGTATGCATCCAGAAAGCTAAGTAGGTTGTGCCCCGCCGTTAGGATCCACCAGTTGATCTTATCCGTGGTAGAGGAAAGTTGTCTTTTGGCATGCCTTGTTGACAGTTTGTTAGTCGACGCAGAACACGCCACTTGCCATTCTTCTTTTGGCACTACGACCGTGTTGGAGATGCCATCTTGGGTAGTGCACTTCTCTTAATTGCTCCTACTTCCAGCAGGTTACCTACTTCTTCTGCCACTATTTCGGCATGGTGAAGTGCCGATCTGCGAGTGCGCCTGAATAACTGGTCTGGCGGATGGGTGGACATTGAGTTGGTGACAGATGAAATTTGGGATCAATGCCTGGCATGTCGTAGGGTGTCCAGGCGAATACTTTCGATGTTAGAGTTTAAGAATTCCAAGACGCTCTAACCTCTCAGTGCTGGACAACGAAAACATCGAGCAAAAAGAACTTATCCGGGTTCTTTTCGTCTATTTTTACCTCCACCAATTCCTCCACTGCTTTCTGATCAGCCTCTTTGCCGACATCCGCTGAATAGTTCATTGCTTTCAGGTTCTTCCACGACGAATGAACGTATCCTTTGGTAGCGCGGCTGCCATTCACCGTTGGCGAAACACATTGCCTTTGACATGATCTGATCTCCATAGACTTCTTCAATTATACCGGTGTCGTTGGGAAACTGCATTACTTGGTGGTAAGATGACGCCACTAATCAATTGCATGCAGCCATGTTCTGCCAAGATGATGTTGTATAGTTGATGGGACCTTCAATACCCAAAACTTCCACTTGTTCGTTCACGCTTCCTGCTCTACACTGGAAGAATTATTTTTGCCGACGGGGCCATTCTGGCATTGGAGTTGAATCCAATAGGGGTGATACAGCAGGCGCCAAGTCTTTGTTGTAGCTTCAGCTGTTTAAATGTCTCGTAGTACATGATTTCACATGAACTACCCTGGTTAATCAGAATCTGGCTTGACGTCAAAATTTTTGACTCCGGAGAGTGACGACTAGGCAATCATTGTGAGGACAGTATATTCGATCCAAGTCTTTATCCGAAAGAAGACATGACGTTTATTGCCTCTGTTTTCCCCTTCTTGATGGCAGATTGGGCACTTAGCACCTCTCTGAAGTGCTCAGCCTTTTTGATTGATCCCCTGAGCTCACATACACGCTCAGGTTCAAAGACTCCATGTATCACATTGATAATTGCCTTGAGGTGGGGCGTCGATTGGCAATTCCGTTGGGGTCATTGTGATCCTGAGGGGCTGGCTGCGTCCCTCCTTCAATGTAGTTTGTCCAAGTGACCTGCCGCACCAAACTCCTCCAGGTGCAGTCTCAATGGTGTGGCAATTCTCAGTTCGGTGCCCCTTTTCTTTGTGGAAGGTGCACCGCGATCTTTCGTCATAGTCCTTCTGAGCTTCTTCCTAGCTTGGCTGGCCACTTGACGAAAAGCTCATCTCTTATTTCACTCAGAATCCGATATATCGGTTTCTTGAACACCGTGGTTATGGCAGTGCGGATTCTCAACCACCTTTTATCCAGGTCTTCTCCGTTATCTCGTCTGCCACGTCCGTTTTCTGTTCTGACGATCCACTGTATTGACCTTTGCTGAGGTTTTCTTTTCTGGTTACTGCGGTCGGCACTAGATTTTTGCTTTGGCACAGTGCGCCATCCTCTTCTACCTTGATGTGCTGATGCACTCTTCCATCAAGGCCTCCATAGTGAAGGGTGGCGTCATGGTGATCGAGTCCCTTAGTCTGTTCCCAACTGGAAGGCCTAGCTTTTATACTGTGCGATGGCGAGATTGGTGGGCAGTCCCCAATCTGATTGAATGTCTCCCAGTAGCAACTGTGTAGGATCTTTAGGGTCTCTTTATCGCCCATGTCGAATGGAGAGTAGCTGGTCGCATCTCCACCGGGGTTTTAGTGTTTGTTCGGAACCTTGATCACGAAGGCTTCTGCCAATTGTGCCCAAGAAGCTATGCTGCCCTCTGGTAGTTTTCTCGAACCACGTCAAGCCTAGGGTCGCCAAGACTTGATGGAAGAAGTATGCACATTAAGGCCTCGTTTTCGCCTGTATACAGCCATGACTTGGCGAAAGTGGCTCAAGTGTGAGTAGGGACGCGTCTTCCCTTCAATGAATTGTAGTGAATTTTGGCTAAGGAAGCCTTTGATGGTAGGGGCGCATTTTTTAATCGCCGGGAACAAACGGTGAAGTCTGTAGGCCTTGCAGTAATGCCTTGTCCGCTGGATTCGTAGGCAGGGCACGGTATTGCATCCAACCTCGACGCTTGCATGCGTCCGAGGAGCCCAACCGCTGTAAGGCAGAAACTCTGTGCGGATCCCCGCGCCCTGGCAATCCTCCTGCAATCGTGCTTTCATCTGAGGCACGGTTCGTAAGTTGGATGAATCTGGATAATATCCTGTTTTGTTAGTACCTGGTTTTGGTGCGAATGCGAGGGCCAATACGTGCTTTCCTTCGTGTATGATCTTTCAGGCCTCGTTCTCGTCCAAGACCTGGAGTGACGAGTTCTGGAAAGGACCAGTGATTTGAGTGTCGCCTGTCCTGAGGCTTCTGCTGCTCTCACATATCTTCGAGGGATGTAGTATTCCTACTACGATTATTCTGAAGTGGCGAGGGGGCGTCTTTTTTTTTGCGCCCCTCTCCTGTCGGCCACCTCTTTTTCTTGCATCTGGCGTGTCAGGCCTCCATATCCGCGCGCCATCTTTCTTATCAATTTCATCTCTTGCTCTTTCACGGCGATCTTCCAGAGCTTGAGGGTCGAACTCCTCCGCCTTGCCTGTGGACTTTGAGAATGAGATTGACGGGGGCCTGTGAGCCCGTCTTCGCCCCCATAGTATTCTTCTCCTGGAGTTATGTCCGTTGAGATCAATGTCCTGCGCATGTTGAGGGACAGGAAGGTAATCTTCACGCCTTGCGCCTCCATCTGGAGTTAACCGTCGACGGCGGACTGCCGGCAATTCTTCAATGTATGCCAATTGATATGTAAAGGGAGAGAAGCCTTTAATCAAGAGGTTTTGTTCCTGTCTGTTATTCCCCACAGACGGCGCCAATTTTGTACGGGAAAGAAATAATTCTCCTCGTATAATCCTGTTGACTAAGTCCACGCTCCTCCGTACGACGTCGCTTTGTCACCTGAAAACACAAACGTGAGCTAGCTGGCGGGTGTGTGCCGGAAACCTCTCCGATGCCTAAGTCAGCAAACTTGACAAATAGACAAAGCTCAATGTATTCAGGAAGCAAAATTGTATGTTCTGTTACCTCCTCCAAGGTGATATTTGTGAGTTTTTATAGGTTTCGAGTGGCACAATCCTAATAGGACTTTTACTCCTCCATGCAGAGTCCTCCTAGGATTCATACTTCTAAAGGATAATGCTTATCCTTTTACACCCCCCCTGCTTAAACCAAGTGGGATGGTTTTTACCATGGCCGAACTACCATTTTTGGCCGAAGTAAAACTGGCTATGCTGAGCCACAGAATAGGCCGAACTATCCTTAGTTCGGTTCTCCCTTTACTCCTCCTTACCGCGGTTCTCTCCTGTTCAACCCATGGTATGTTTGGACCGAACCAACGATTTGCGACCGGTATAACTCCACGACCGGTATAACTCCAAGACCGGTCTAACTTCAAGTTTCTTCCGGACTGAAGTAGCTTAATCTCTTTTGGCCGGAGTAACCTCATCTCTCTTGGGCTGGAGTAACTTCTCGGCCCTTTTTACCCAGTCCTTCGTACTTTGGGCCATAAAGTCCATCTCATAGCTCGGCCCAATTTTCACCAAAAATTACCCTCTCAAGTTTGCATTTTCCATTGATACAATATATGGCTTTGTCTAGTGTTGAATTTTAATTGTCAAGTTTGATATAGTATTTCACATATTTATAATTAATCTTCTATCGATTTTTTTATTTAAAAAAAAAAAAAAAAAACCACACAAGCATGCTGGCATAAGTGTTTTACTAGGTTAATTTACCTGTCAACATATATTTGAACTAGTTTGGAAAGTCACATTATTGTATACAGTTAGATGGACCAATATTTCGATGTAATGCGTATTTTTAACATTTAAAATAAAAAATTTAGATTAATGCTTTGGGGCTTAATCTAAATTTTACTTCATATAGATTACGGGTAGGGGCTAGGTAGGAGCACATTAATTTTGTTTAGTAGCAAATCTAAAAGTAAACCAATCCCTAAAACTTCATTTGGATTACCTGGTGACAATAAAAATGATTAATTAAATTTGACGTGGAAATGAAATAATAGAAATAATTGATATTTCTCTTCATTTATAGAGGGAAAGGAGAAAGAGTTTTAAAAATCAAATTTTTGTCCCCAAAATGACTAATTATTTTTAAAATCTTAATTTGTTGTAATTATTTCATGCTTGCCACTGTGTGACCAACCATTTGGTGATATTTTTAGGGATTAACAATATTGATTTTTATTGAAAATACCCTAGCACTGTTTGATTGTATTCCTAATGCATAAAGCATTTTATAATAACTAGATATAATGGATTAAAGCAAATAAAAAGGGTATTGATAAAGCATACCTTTTCATTAAACAAAAATTGTGCCTGGGTAGAAGAATTTCCTTCAGATGTTGACATCTTCTCCACTTTGGGGTAGAAGCTTATGAGCTTGGGTAGATTGCAGAGATGCAAATATTTCAACTGACTGAAATTAATTACCTGACTTGAGAGTTCATCTTCATCTTTTTCTTCTTCAATTCCAACTATTGCTTTCATTATCACACAATTAGTTATTTGCAGTCTCTGAAGTCGTGGAAATCCTCTTGCACAGGACAGGGAGAAGAGATATTCCAACCTACAATCTTTAATTGTTAATTCAATTAAATTATTGAAGAAGCCTGATGGATTTAGTCCATGACGTTCCATCAAAGACCCCTCTCCACCTCTGTCATGCAGCACCTCTTGTAAACCTTCAATTTCTTCCAAATGTAGCTCTTCAGCTCTCAGCAACAAAACGATAAACTTGTCCATTAAGGAAACACCCACAAGTTTACACGACTTTGAATAAGTGTTAGAAATACCCATACAAATTAAGGAAATACCAATTGATATTTTAAATCTGATCAAGTTTTCAAAGCAGAAGTCCTTGGGCAATAGCATGACATTTGGTATGTGAATCTGTAAAGTGGTTAATTGCGTCAATTTCCCCAACTCATCAAGATTCACTGTGCTTCATTCCTCCCTCGGCCCAGCCACATACTCATCTAAAATGTAAAATTCTTCCAGGCGAGACAAATTGGATATGACACCTTGTGGAATCTCTGTGAGCTTTCTACAATTTCCCAGATCTAACAATCGAAGACGAGTCAATTTTCCTATCTCTGATGGCAAAACCTTGATATTAGAACCTCGAAGGCTAAGTATTTCAAGGTTATTATTTAGATCCTTGAGTATAGCTATGTCTCCCAACTCACAATAATCTAACCATAACATCCGAAGGTTAACCAAATTTGCAAGAGATAATGGAGGCAACATACAGATTCTATTCAATTCTAAAATTGTAAGTTTCTCCATTCCACTGAAAAACCTATCTGGAACATTAAGCAAAGGATTGATATTCCATTTCAATTTCATGGTCAAGGTGTGGAGTTGTGGACATACCAAATCATCCGGAAGCTCAAGAGTGTTGTCGAACCTTAATGACATTGCTGAGGAAGATTCGCATGTATCTTTCTCGGGCCACTTTTTGTCACCATGTTTTACTAGAATTTCCTTGCCATCATCTTTCGCAATTGAAAGAGCAACATCTCGAATGACATCATGCATTTTGACAAAGTTTTCATCTTTTCCTTCTAACAACAAACAAGCATCTTTGAGGATATCGACCACTGTAAGTACTCGACGGCTTGCTCTTATTAGTGTATTTGTGTTTTGTCCAAGCAAACTTCTCACTATGCAGTGTCTCGCCAACACTTCAATTGAAATATTAGCATCTTCAGGAAAGAAACAACATAGCAAGAAGCATGATTTTGCATCACTAGATTCTAACCGATCATAGCTTAACTTTAAGGAAGCATACACCTTTGCGTCGATTCCCGCAATATTCTTTAGCATGGAATCTTTGAATTGATCAAGTACATCTTCCCAGACATATTTTTTCTTACCTTTCAATGCGGCTCCAACTGCAAGTATAGCGACCGGCAAGCCTCCACACTCTTTACAGACTGCATCAGCTATATCATGGAGTTCTTTATCATCGAGTTCAGGAGAGTCAACAGAATTTCCCACCTTCGTCTTGAATAGGGCCCATGCTTCTTTCTCTGATAATACTTGCATTGGAACATATCTATCAACATGCATCTCTTCCAACACACCTCGGATTCGAGACGTTATCACAACTTTGCAACAATTGTTTCCATCAATGATAGGAATCCCTATTCTCTTCAAGTCCAAGTTTTGCCACATATCATCCAATATAATGAGATTTTTCTTCCCATTGTTCAATCTATTCCACAATTTGCTTGCTTTTCCCACTTCATGAGTTTCCCCTTGTAGTTCCAGATTCAAGCGAACAGCGAGTTGCCCTTGAATATTGCTCACATTTGCGTCCTGAGAGACAACTGCCACAACGACTTCATCAAAAAGTCTATTTTTCACTAGTTTGCCAATCTCTTCGACCATCGTCGTCTTTCCAACCCCTCCTGTTCCATATACTCCAATCATTTTAACATTGGAATTTTGTAATGCCGCCATGATGTTATTGAAAACAAATTCTCGCGACTCAAAATTCACATAGTTTGTACTTGACGATGTGAATTGAAGTTCTTGAGCAAATGGCTTAGGATGTGCAACTGTGCTAAAATTGCCACTCTGAGTGAACTTTTTTACTTCTTCGATCTTGTTTTCGGCTTCCTTACTCATTCTGTAACGCGAGATGTAGTCCGGACATAAGAATACAGAGCACTGCATGTTTTCGTTAACAGTATTTTCATCCTTAAATTTCGGAACTCTTTCTTCCCCCTCCGCTAGCCAGTTTGAAACAGGTTCATCAACTTCTTCACCACGAGTAATGGCTTCATCAACTTTTTCTTTGATTTGTTCTATCAGTTCTTCAAGGTTTTTAATTTCAACTTCCAAATTCTCCTGCTTCTTCTTGTACTGAAAAGCAAAACCAACGTGGAGCATCACTGGCTCAACTAATCTCCCTGCAATTGCCCCTGCAATTGCCCCTACAATTGAAAATACACCTTGCAGGGCACTCATTTTCAATCCACTTTTTCTCTTCTTTTTTTTTTTGAAACAAATATTGAAGAAGAAACTAGTTTGAGATTCGAATTTCAGAGGATAAAGCTCTCTCAATCTGTATCTGCAGGTAAAACAAATTTTTTTGGTTGAAACAAATATTGAATAAGAAACTAGTTTGAGATTCGAATTTCAGAGGATAAAGCTCTCTCAATCTGTATCTGCAGGTAAAACAAAAAGAGAGATATCAAAGAAGAGAAATAAAAAGCGAAGATAAAATTCTCTCTTTTGCTGATTAGGCAAATAAAAAACGAAAAAAAAAAATTTAACATTATGTTTACTCAAGTCTGATCCAAGATTTTTTAAACCAATAAATTCTATTTAGTAAAATTGAGAATATTATCAGTTTTTTCCAATTTATAAAGCTAACAACATTATCAATTTTATATAGTAATATTTCACATAATTGTTTCACTAATTGATGGGGGAAAAAAAAACTGAATATGGAATTAAACGTTTTTTTCCTTCTACTTATTGATTTTATTCAACTATCTAAAAAAATCGAGAACATTATCAGTTTTTTCATTTTAAAATTTTTTTTTTTTGCACGTCAATGTTCCATCATCATGCTTCTTTATAGACACAAATTTTTTAGTTTTATCCAAAAAAATAATTTAATTTTTCAATTTTTTTAAAAAAAAAACATTTAGTTTTTTCTTTTTAATTTATATTTTACCTTTTTTATTCACTTTTTAAATTCTTTTCTAAATTTATGAATCAAACAGTGTTTGTTGTACCTTGAGGCTCTCTACCAAAAACTTCTTTCTTTTCTTTTTTTTAAATTCTGAAAATATGATAAACACCAAAGAAACACTTGAGGAGAGATGGGAAATTACAGATACTACATAAAGCATTTACAAATATTTGTACGTTAATAATCATAACAAAATAGAATCCATTAAAGTGTAGGAAAAATCAGTGAAAAGCCTATTTTCAAGAGTTTGTTTAGCCATAAATATTATGGAAATAAAATGTGATCCAATAAATTCTACATATGTATGAAATATAAATTTTATCCTTGTTTTGGTCAACATGCTTATATTTATATATATATTTTGATCGGTGAAAATCAATTGTTAATTGTTAGATTAATACCTGTGAGAGTTAGCCTCTGCATTCTTTACATAGTCAAGTGCTTGCCTCTTTAATTCAACTCCCTTAAAGAGATTTAAACCTATGACCTCTCCTAGGGACTAAACCCTTAGGAAAGTCATAGTAGCCAACTAGATTAGGCCTAGTTGATTAACATGTTTATATGAAAGACTTTTTTTTTTGTTTTTTTTCTTTTTCTAATGTTTCAAAACTTGAAAATTTTACAACTTTTAAAATGTACATATGTTTTTTTATATAGTTTAGATTTTTTATAAGGCAAAATTTATTTTATCCCCTTGTGATTTAAAGCTAAAGCACTTTACCCTTATAATTCAAAAATAGTAAGAAAGATCCCATCATATGATTTTGAACTAAAGTGTAACCATTAACGTAGTTAACTAAAGATGTAAAATTACTATAATACCCTTTAATATACATAGTTTATAATTTTTAAACATTAATTCAATTAAAACACAATTAATTATATATTCTTAATCATTTATTGTAATTCTTAACTATTTATTCTAATTTTAATTTAATTATATTTTAAATCACAATTAATCTTAAATATTTAATTAGTTATTGTAATTGCAAAATTTTAAATCTAACTTTAATTATCATATTTTAGATCAATTTCTAATTATTATGTATTTTATATTCTTACTTAAAATATTTAGTTATATTTTATATTTTAAATTAATTGTTAATTATATTTTATTTTATTATATTTTAATTAACATATTAATCTTTTTGTTGTATTAATTTCATGTTATTTTTTCAAAAAACTAAACCCATTTTAAAATATTGTGTGTAATACACCTTCCGTCAATTTGAATGAAAAAATTAAAGACACTTTAATCGTCCAAAATCCCTTGGAAATTTTCTGACTATATTTAAATCATAAGATTTAAAATGAATTTAATCCCTTTTTTATAACTACTCAGCGAGATCGTTCTCAATTAAATACAAAATTATGTAAAATGAAAAAAAAATACACTTTTTTAGAATTTGAAATTGTGAATAAAATTTCATACTTTTGAGAAATATTTTGTCATGAGACTCATCTTCCTTGCATTATAATAGTGTGAATTTTGTAATAAGTGTAAAAGTTGTAAATCTGAACATTTATACTTTTAAGTATTAAGATATTATTTAGAAAGTATGAAAGTTAGTATGAATGCATTTAAAAATATTCACACTTCTTAAAATTTTATATTTTTCTAATTTATTGAATGTGTGAATATTTGTATTTTTAAAAAATTCCTAGGTAAATTATAATTTGCACCCCTGCAGTTTGCACCAAATTCACTTTGGCCCTTATATATGAAATTATGACAATCAAGCCATTACACTTCTAATCAAATCTTTTGGTCCCTACACATGAAATCGTGGTAGTCAACCCTTACATTTCTGGTCAAGTATCAATGTCTCCATTTTGTTACTCTACCATATAAATCTTTAATAGAGGTCAGTAATGCGACAAACATATGACTACAAAATAAGAGCAAAGGAGGAAAATCATGCACATTTCCCGCTTATACACATCCCAAAATTTACATCATATTTTGTCTATATTCGATTAAAACAAAAGACAAATTATGAACAATTAGAGAGACAAATTAAGAATTTTTTTGTAGAAATAGAAATCACAAAATTCTGTTTTTCACGATAGAATATTCCTCTTCCCTTTTTTGATTTTTCTGCTATCTTTATTTATTTGTAAAGAGTTCTGTTTTCTTTACTTTTTGTCCTAATCTTCTTACATGTTTATCACGTGAGACAAAGTATGTATTGGTGGAAAATAAGAATAATTTTGTTCTCTTATTCTCATTTTGTAGTCACGTATTTATCATAAGACTGAATTCCTATTAAAGACTTAAACAATATAGTAACAAAATGAGACATTGACACTTGACCAAGTGCAAGGAGTTGATTGACACGATTTCATGTGTAGAGACCAAAGTAGAATTTGACCAAAAATACAGGGGGTTAACTGTCACGATTTCATATGTAGGAATCAAAGTGAAATTTAGTGCAAAGTATACGGATGCAAAATGTAATTTACTCATGATTTTTTGTGATTTTCACTATTAATTCTAACAAAATAAGACAAACTTTTAATTGGCGAATTGAAAATAGAATAATTTGAAATTATTTATCCAAAAAAATAAAAAAGAACAATTTGAAATTAAAATTGGTTTGTTCACCCTCTTGGCCGAAAATCTATAGATGCCAATATTTCATAATTATGTATTCTATGGTCATTACCAAATTAACATTATATTTTCTTCTTCGTGATTTGAGATTGGAACATTTTAGCTCTCCTATTGTTTAAATATAGTTAGAAAGGTCCCATCTTATTTTGGACCAAGATATAACCGTTAATTTCATTAATTATAAATATGAAATGATTGTAATAATCTTAAATCTTATGTCTTTTATATATATATATATACTTTTTTTCCTCTCTCATACACATAATTTATAATTTCTAAAATCAATTCAATTAAATAATAATCAATCATAAATTGTTAATTATTTATAATAATTCCTAATTTTTTACTCTAGTTTTAATTTAATTATATTTTAAATCAAAATTAATCGTAAAATCCTTAATTATTTAATATAATTCCTATTTTTATCTAACTTTAATTTAATTATAGTTTAGATCACAATTAATCATACATCCTTAATTATTTATTGTCATTCCTAACATCTTAATCTAATTTTAATTTAATTATATTTTAGATCAATCCTTAATAATTATTTATTTTATATGTTAATTTAATTATATTTTAAATCACTCTTTCATTATATTTTAGGTCAATCCATAATTATACATTTATTTTATTTTAATTACATCTTAATTTAATTTTAGGTTTGGAGAAGATCGAGATAAAATTGTCTCTTTATTGTGTTAATTTCAATTTATTTTTTTAGAATCAAGTCATTTTAAAAAATAGTGTGCGTGATACACCTTCCGTTATTGTGGATGAAAAAATTAACTATTGTATTTTAATCCAAAATCACATAGAACCTTTCTGACTACATAAATGAATTTTGTCTTTAATCCAATTAGTTGATCAAACATTGTTTAGAACTTGTGCATTTAAGTTTGAGAACAAGAATTGAAGATTACAGTAGACAGAAGTTACCTTTATTTAAAGAAATTGTAGAATACATTCACCAAATCATGAATTGAGATAAGCTTGCAAGAGATCTGTTTGTCCACAACAACAAAAATTAATGAGATGATACATTTTTATGAGATAAGCTTGCAATCTATCTCGAGCCAAAAACATATGGGGAAGCATTTCGTAAAATCTATTTCCACATACTACCTAGATATCACCTAAAAATACATATATGGTTTGATATCATTAGAATTGAGCAAACCCAAAATGCTCATGAATCTATTACACAAAGCTAGAAAAATGAGCTTGAAATAATGCAGAAATAGAATCTCACTACATGAATATTGTTGCAGTACAAGCCAACAAAATTAAGAGTTATTATGTTAACAATCACAATAAGAGAGTTTTTGTTATTTCTTGAGTGTATGAGTATTTTCTATTATTATTATAGATTTTATTTTGCTAATCAAAAAATTGAGTTATTTGACCTTTGATGTCAAAAAATACAAGCCATAATTCTATAACTGTTGCTTAGCATTACATAGATTCTCAACCCCCTATTGTACTCATGTCCATATATAAGATGCAAGAAAGAAGTCAAAAATATTATAGATTGTGTAGCAAAACGAGATTAGAAAATGGTATATCAAACAAAATAAATTAAATTTTTATAAAAGAGAAATGTACTTACATTAGTTATTAAACAATCACAAGAAAAATGAACAAATGTAGGAAACATTGGTCAACAGACCCGGGCATTGATTGTTTTGTGACAGAGACCCAAATTTTGGTTTTTCTTAGTTAGAAGGTGACATGCACAACACCTTCTAGTTGGCAAGTCAAAACATTTTATGGCAAAGAAATTTTTTGACATATTTGCCTTTTTATGTGTAGTGTTAAAAAACATTAAAATGTTATAACTTTAACTACATATATCAATTTTTAATAAAATTAATATTTTTGTGTTCGTCTTTTCAAGATCTTTAAATAAAGATCAATATTAAAAATGAAAAAAAAATCAACATATAAACCTATAGAAAAATAACGAATAGATCTATTTCGAATCATGTCAAGGCCAAGGAAATTCATGACAATGCAACTATGTATAGTATCATAAAAACTATACATCAATACAATAGAATTGCAATTTTCCTCACCATGGACCAAATGACATGATTTTTTGGTCTAATGTAAGATGGTTTATGCAAAAAAAGTATAAATTGAGAGTCAAAAATATATAATATATATATACATTGGGAAGAATAGATCTATTTCGAAGCATGTCAAGGCCAAGGAAATTCATGACAATGCAACTATGTATAGTATCATAAAAACTATACATCAATACAATAGAATTGCAATTTTCCTCACCATGGACTAAATGACATGATTTTTTGGTCTAATGTTAGATGGTTTATGCAAAAAAAGTATAAATTGAGAGTCAAAATATATATATATATATATATACATTGGGAAAAAATGAGTAAGCGAAACCACCCCTGTTCATTTCAGAGGGATAGATTTCACAAAAAATACATAAAATCAAAAAACAAAAAACTCAAAAACGGACTAATGAGCACAAAATTATGGCCTATTGAAGTTTCTGCAACATATAAAAATCAAACTCCATTTCTTAATTTGTAAGCAAACATATATATGTTTGTCTACAATTTTTTTAATTTAAAAAATATTTCAAAGTGCCCAGATAGCATAGGTAATGCATAGATAGGCATATATAATGCACAAATAGCACAATAGCTAGTAGACAAACCTATTTGTTCATATTTTTCACTTTAAAAGTGCATAGGTATATCTCATATAGACCTATTTATTTTCATTTTTAATTTAAAAGTTCACATATGAATGCTAGATAGACCCTGTCCCAATTTTTTTAATTTAAAGTGCATACAAAGAACTATTTTTTCCCGAATTTTAATTTAAAGTGGAAAATATACCAGAAACGTTTAAAATGGACAAATAAATCCCAAATAGACCTATCTATCCCCCTTCTTTAATTTAAAAGTGCATAGATAGACTCCAGTTAGAACTATTTGCTTTTGAGTTTTTTTTTTTGGTTAAATTTAAATGTGCACAAATGACCCCATAGAGGTTTAAAGTGCACAAATAGACTCCAAATAGATCTATCTGTCCTTATTTTTTATTTGAAAGTGCACAGATAAACTTGAGATATACCCATCTATCCTTTTATATTTTATATTTTTTTATTTCCATATTCAACATGGAGCTTGTTTTAAAGATTTCATAAAAGCGAATCCAAAAATATAAATGTTATTCATAACTGGATAACAAAATTCAAGTTATGAGAACTTAAAATTCGCAAAACACACACATAAAAAGCTTCTAGAAGGTTTGTTGTTATAAGGAGATGATTAGTAGGATCATGAGAAGAACGCTTAGAGAACTTAAAATATTTTTGTCAGTGTGAAGGCGTGTTCATTAACTGTCGTTTGGCACATAAATTGGAAGTGAGTTGAGATTAAAAAACACCCAAAAAAAATAAAATAGGTTAAATAAATCAATGAAATAAAATTTCACATTCAAATTATAATTATTTTATTTTTTTCTCATTAAAAAAACAAAAGAACCAAAAAATTAATTCCAAAATTAACTAAAAAATCAAAAAATTAAGTTAAAAAAGTTCTTTCCAAACCAACATTTAGTGCTTGGATTGATGGACTTAAAAATATCGAAATTGGAGTTATGACCCGCTCTTAAATTTGTATCAATCATTTCTTGATATTCATTTAACTATTTCATACAATTTTTTGGTTATAAAATTAGGATCTTATGTATAATTTATTTATTTATTTTGCTTTTATTAGCAAAAATGAGTTATTAATTGTTAGATTAATACCTATAGAAATTAGCCTTCTCACCCTTTGTAAAGCACCGAATGGCTCCTGGAGACTAAGCCCTTAGAAAAATCATGGTGACCAACTAAGTTGGTTTATGAATGATTCATTTGACGAATATTTTATGAAAAATTATACCGGTAATCTCTACTCTTATTTTTTTTTGGTTTTATCTTAGTTTCTACACTTTTAATTAGTTCAATTTTATATTTAGTGTTAATTTGATCTAATTGATAATACCGTTAGTGTTTTTGACTAAAAAATATTATTGAATTTGTTGAGATTAACTCACTAAGTTGAGAAAATTTATAATTTTGCACTTAAAATCATAACACATACCACTCATGTGCATATTTTTAATTAAAAAATGCAAAAATTTCCTGATATATGCATAAATTCAGGATTAAAATCAAATCAATTGAAATGCATTAATTAAAAAAATTGAGGCAACCTCATAAATTCAGGATTAAAATTGAATCAATTGAAATTACAAAGACTAAATACAAAAAAAAAAATATAAGGACTACTATCCCTGGCAGAATATAGACACTGAAGTTTGCATTTGTTTAATGTTTTAAAGTGATGACACATAAGTTAAAATACTACAATTTCCTAATATATGCATAATATAATAAAGGATTTTGCTATGTTTAGAAGTATAAAAAAATTGTCTATTATGCCAAAAAAAGCATATATATTAAAGAACGTATTTTTTTATAAATATTCTTAACATGTGTTTTAAATATTTGTTTCGTGTTAACAAAACTTCATAAAAATAAAAAATTAAAAGGCTTAATGTTACACCATGACCAAATGCGATCTTTGAATAAACTCTTTTGTTTAATTTCTCTTCTGTTATAAATTTACAATTAACTGTATAATCATAAAGAAAATAGACAAAACAGAAAGTCCCAAACTATGTTCCATTGAAATACAATGAAATTTAAATAAGGAATGCCATCAACTTAGTTTTTTTTTTTTTTTCGCACGCGCATGTATCAGAAGTTATTAGCTGGAGTTGGTGGAGTTAAGTGGAGGAAGAAATAACAGAGGAAATTAAGATCTTCACACCATAAAGTGGTATTATATAATCACTTGGCTAACTAGCCGTGGTGTTACGTCAAATTGGTTCAAAGAGTTTAATATCTCACCATCAACTAACTTGGTTGATCAAATAAGCCACATGATTTACAAAATAAAAATAAAACTAAGTTAATGAAAGGTTATCTCCCGCATATATTAAAAAATAAAAATAAAAATGCTACCTATGGAGAAAATAACAAATGGCATTTTAGCTTCGTCTATGAAATAACACGAATATGTAAGAATGTGAGATACATGATTGCCACTATACCCAAATTAAATATTTGAATATTCTAATCTTTAATCATATTTGAAAAAAAAAATTACATTTTATAATAATGAAAATTTTTAATCTCTCAGGTGAATGAGTAATTAAAAAAATCCAGTTGACCTTGAAATTTATTTAATTTGAAAAACATTCCTAAATGTTAAGAACATTTTATTATAGAATATTACATTACAAGATAAAATAAATGTTCAAAATATACTTACATACATATCCTTGTAAAGTTCACTTGTCTGTAGTCTTTTATACTCGTCTAATTTTGGATTTGTAAACCCACTAAGAATTCTATTTGGATGATCCAAATCATTTAATTTTAGGTAAATGTGTAGATCATCATTGAAAAAATCATGTTGATCAAATAAACATATATAGTCATATAATTTTAATAGATTTTTCTTTAAAAAAATGAACGTATATTTTCAAAATCATATTAATTATCTACTTTTAGAGAGAATACACTGAGAATTATATAGTTACGCGCTTATCGATTCAATAACATTTTTTTTTTCAAATATGATATGATTTGCACATAAATGTCTAAAGGATCAACGACTTGAATCCTGGATGTGGAGTTTATTATGATGGACGTATGAGTCCAAAACTTGACCATCTAGTCTTCAAATACTTCTATTTAAGTCTCATTTAAGAACATATTATTTTATTTATAAAAAAAATATGTAAAAAAAGTAGAAAAAATAATGTAATAATTTATAGTCACTTTTAATTTTTTGGCTAAAATTGAAAATTGTCAAACGAGACCTAAATTATATTTGGTTCACTAAAATAAAGTGTAATTAAATAATCATTTTATCAAATTATTTATTCTTATGTTTTGTTAGACTAA